TTTAATGAAAAGATATTAAATCTAAAAAGGTAAAAATATTCAAAATGATAAAAGTATCACAGTGTGAAATATGTTATTTTATCAGTCTGATTAAATTTTATTACCAAAAAGATTTTTACGTATCACTTTTACTTGTATTCGCCCATAAAACTATATAACTAAATTCATCAAAGTGGTTTAAGAAAATGTAAGTTAAATTTATGAATCCCGGTAATTATGAGCCTTGTTGGTCTAAGAACGACGTGGATGGGATCTCTTGACAATCGAAGAACTAGGGAACCCTTTTTAGCTTAAGAAATATGAGCATACAATTTGGGTATTGTTAGGCAATTATTATATTTTGTTATTGTTTTAGACCAAGAACAAAGTCATATGACATTGAAAAAGGGGATAGTTCCTATATTTCCCTTCTTTTAACTATTTTTTTTTAAAAAAAAGTAAGTGTATTTTATAAAATAAGTGTGTGTATATATATATAAGTGTTCTTTAATTTAATATTCTATTTTTTATATATTCTTTATTTTCTTTACCTATTTTAATATCCACTCAAAATTAACTTATACAAGATATTTTAAATTAAATTTAAAATCAGATTAAAAGAAAAATAAAAAAAATAAATAGAAACGAGGGAGAAAAACGATAAATGAAGGGGGAAAAAAGTGGAGAAAAACACTTTATACAAGGTAATTTTTTATTTTTTTAAAAAAAAGAAAATTACATGTATAAGTTAGTTTAAATATTAGGAAAACAAGATAAAGGAGACTTTACAAAAATAAAAATATTTACACATGTGGAAGCGTGTGTTATCCAAGACAACCAATTTTACTTGATTGAAGGTGTCTCATTATCATAAAAATTGCACAAATATACAAATTGAGTTTGGGAAGGGAGGGGGAGGGTAATAAATTCGAGTTAAATTAAGATGTGTCATTGAGATTTCTTTCGTAATTTAGAGGGTCCTTACACTTTTTTTCCCTTAATTTTTAGAATTAGTTAGCTCATATTAGTGGAGTATCATTTTAAAAGTTTAGGATTAAATTTATTATTTACTTCTTGTTATCACGGAATAATTATTCTTGAAAAATAAAAATAAAAAACTAATAAAATAAAATATTACTCTCTTCGTTTCATAATAACTTATGCTTTGAGTTATTTTTCATTTTTCAAATTAATTTAATTTTTGAATTTTCAAGACTAATTTTAAGATATTCTTCCAATCTTTAAGCTTGTATTGGAATTAATTATTATAATTAATGTTCAGTTATTTTTTACAACAATTAATAAGGATAAAAATAAAAAATTACGTTCAATTTGTATTTTAACCTACTTTTCTTAAAGGGTGTGTAAAACACTTCAAAGCTTGAGTTATTATGGAATGGGGAGAGTATAATGAAGAGAGAGTTCATCATAAATTTTTAAAAAAATGATCTTAAAAGTTCTTAGTTAATATTTTTATGAAAAAAATGATCTTAAAAGTTCTTAGTTAATATTTTTATGAAAAAATGATATGACATACATATCTCTCAATTTTGACATTTAGAATTGATATACTTTTTATAATTTTCTTAAAAAAAAATAACTTACATATATTATAAATGACTTACATTATCTCCTTTTCTCAAACAGAAGTGAAAATAAAAATATTTTCAACTTATTTTTTAATTTTTTAATAAAAAACATTCATGTAGGGTTTATGTTTGCTCCTTCTCAAATTATTTTTCCCATCGCTTCAATGATGGATTTGATTTATTATTTTGATAGTTGAACTTTTTTTTTCACTAACTTTCTTGTATATTTATCTAATACGCCCCTCCCCTCCCCCCCCTCCCCCGCCTCCTCCCTTTTTTTATAGATTAAAAACACAAATTACAATATATTATACTTTTTTTTCATTCACAGAATTTTTTATTTTTATATGTTTACGACATAAAATAAAATAAGAATAAGAAATATTCATATAATTAAAAAATAACATGTGTGAAAGGGAACATCTTCCCCTAAAAAAATTAAAAATATTTTTTCGCATTTTTTAATTTTTATAACAGTAATAATAGTATAAGTAAACTATTGTTGTAATAAAAAAGAAAATATTAGAGGATTATGCTGAATTTTGAAAGAGCATATAAATGGAAAATGCATAATACATATATTGAACTCTAAATTTAACTTTAAATTTTAATTTTGGTCTCTAACTTTTATAATGCACAAACAAACATTTACTATTTAACTTTTAAATAAATAAATATATGAGTCTTACATGACACAATATACGTAGGACACCATGTAGGACAAACAATGACATGTAGGATACGTGTATTTTTTTGTTCAACTTTATATAAGTTTAAATATCTATTTGTCCACATCCAATATTGAAGGACATAAATGTGATTTGAATTCAAGCTAAAGAAAACATTTACGCATTATGCCAAAGGAAAAAGCAACGGAGAGCAAATAAATAAGGCATAATACATATATTAGACGCTAAACTTGACTTAAAATTTTAATTTTGACTTCCAACTTTCATAATGTACAAACAAACACTTTAATTATCCAACTTTTAAATAAATAACCAAATGAGTCCTACATGACACAATACACATAGGACACCATATAGACAAAAAGTGACATATAAAACATGTGTCTGTTTGTTCAACTTTAAACACGTTTAAATATTTACTTATTCATATCTAAAATTAAAGCTTATAAATGTAATCTAAATCAAAATTAAATGATATATTTATGTATTATGTCAATTAAATAAAGGTGTAGGTAGAGAGCACGTAATGTCTTATTTTGTTTTGTTGTGATATGATGATCCGTACACAGACAAGACGCAGTTAAGTAATGGCGACAAACTAACAGAACTGGGAAACCGCACATGAAACTGTGGGACCCACTTGTCCAGAGCTCACTAGCTCACACGTGGGACACACACTCCGGGTCCCACTTCATTTATTAAAAACGATTAAAGATAAACATATACCTACTCACCTTTTTAATCGAATTTCAAATTTAAATTTTGAATATAAAAATATTATTTATCTTTTCATTTTAAAAAAATAATCTAATTTAATTTGGAATAAAGTTTTTTTTTTAAAAATTTAATTTTGTGATTCAAAATTAAAGTTATATCAAATGTATCAAAATAATCTTTAATCTTGTGGTCTTAAACATATTATGTGCAAAATTAAATTTAAATTGTTATCAAATAAAAGAAGAAATCATTCTTTTTTTAAAAAAATAAACTAAAAAAGAATTGTGAACATCTTTTTTAAATGAAGAAGTATATGAAATATTTTCTCTAGAGAAGAATATTATACCACAAAAATAAATCTTAATTGTACTCTAATATGAATTTAAACATTGCATAGAAATTTTACAAAATGACTCATAAATCATCCGCTAATACACATTTTCTTTGTCTCAAATAATTGGTTAAATTATTTGTGTTTTCATTTTATATCCTTTTAAAGTTAAAAAAAAGAGAGAGTATAATACCTCAATCATGGAGTGAGGTTATAATTGTTCCTTCCTTATTAAGTTTTTTTTTAAAAAAAAAAGTAAAAAGTTTAGTACAAACTTACGGAATTCCAGTAACAGTAACTTTTAAAATTAGATTTATTTTGAAGTTTAAAACATAAGTCCATTTTAGTAAAGTTAAAATAGGGATAAAAACAAAAAGTGTGAAAAGAAGAAAATGAAAAAGTATTGTGTATGGGTGACGTGGATGTTTGGACAACGTGGCATAGACCCAAAATGTCAGTTAGTGCATCGGAATTCGGAGCCACGTAATCACGTTATCCTTGCAGTATCACAAGGATAAAACAAACCTCAATTTACGGACAAGTCCCTCCGATTTAGCTGACTCATCCTTTATTAGCGTGTATAAAAATAATATTAAATAAAATTAGTCACGTATAAATTATTTCTTATTTAATCTATTAAAAGTAGCACTTATGCATAAATAAATTTATTTATAAAGATATCCTACTTAATTTTAGATAAAAAATATAAAAATAAAAATATTTTAAAGAGTAATAAGATCTTTACAATTAAAACCTCAAGCATTAACAGGTAAATTTTCATGTACTAATTTACATCTCAATACATAATAGATCGAAAAATATATCAAATTAAAATATCGCTAATACGCAAAACTTATGAATGTATTAATTTTGTGTATAATTAATGTTTGATTTCCTACACTATTTAGCTATATCTTCTATTTAGTATAACTACTACATGTAAAATTATGTACTAACAATGCAAGAGTTTAAAATGCATGTATCAACATTATTCAACACATGATTATCTTCTTGAAAATCATTTCTACATTCATTTTGTCATATTTGTGAAGGTAATTTGTAAAAAGAATAAAAATTATCCAATGCATGATATTTTTGGCACACTAAATCAAATACTGGATAGGAAATAATTCTAGCATAACTAATATCAATATTATTAAAAAATTATATTCAATTTTTTTTGTACATCATATTTCAATTTTTTTTATTTTCTCTTAATCAGACATCTCGCTATAAAAAAATATATGTTACAAATAAATTATATATATAAAATATATCATGACAAATAAAAGTAAACACCATAAGTAATATAAAAGATAAAAACATGATTGATTTGAAAATAAAATAAATATAGGTTTTTAGATTTGTTAGTAAATATAATTATAGTTGTTGAAAGTGTGAAAAGAAAAATTAAATAGAATATTTGATGTAATTGTTGATTGGAGACAAGTGCGTGGACGTAGGAAAGTGATGGGTAGAAATAGAACGCAGAATGCGCTCGATGCACTAAACTCGATCTGTTCAATTATATATTTCATATTAATCGATATATATTTTTTTAAATATTTTCTAATAATAAAATCAAATAAAGTATATTTTTTTACCGTATGATTAATTAATTAATTGATTAGTGAGTTGAATGATGAGTGGTTGTTGCAAATGCAGGCAATCTCTTATTTTACTTTTTTCAGAGCATTTCGTATCGGTATTCTCGCTCTACTTGTCTCTCTTTGCTCTCAAAACGCTTTAAATAAAGGCCACTTCCCATTCTTCCCTCTCTACTTCCCCCAACTCCATTTGCATGCTCTCTCTACTTTTTCTCTCTTTCTGCAAAACAAAAACAAAATACTGTATTTTGTTCATGGCTAGTGTTGAAGCAAGACATCTCAATCTCTTAAATCAACAAAGGTATCTATGTATTTCTCATGATTTGATCTTCTCTGTTTGGGTTGATTTGTTTTTAGTTATGTTGTTGAACATGGGTTTATTGACAAAATTGCAGGAATTTGAATGGATTTGTTTACAATACCCAGATGGGTTCAGGGCTGATTCCAATGCCGGAGAATTATTTGCCTAAGACATCGGTGAATACTGAGAGTGGTCTTACTTTTCATTTACCCACAAATGATGTAGTCGCTCCAAGGAAACGTTCAAGAGATTCATTCACTCCTTCTTTCTCTACACCTCACAAACACTGCAATGGACTCTCTCAAATTCCATCCTTATCGTTTGTCGGTGATGATGTTTTGCCACTCGTTCAACAGTATCAGTTAGATATCAATTCCATTATTTCTCACCATGTAAGCTTAATCAACAATCCACAATTCAATTCTAATTCTTCTTTCATTTACTTATGATGTGTTTGTTTGTTTACAGACGAAGAAAATAAGATTGGAATTAGAAGAGCAACAGAAACATCAATCGAGAATGCTGGTATCAGCAATAAGCGAACGAGTAATGAAGAAAATGAAGGAAAAAGACGAACAAATACAGAGAATAGGAAAAATCAATCAAGTCTTACAAGAAAAATTAAAGACTCTTTACATGGAAAATCAACTATGGAGAGATTTAGCACAAACCAACGAAGCCACAGCCAATTCACTCCGCAGCAACTTAGAACAGGTCCTTGCACACGTCACCGACGAACGCCTCTCCGTGGAGGAAGATGCCGAGTCATGCTGCGGCAGCAGCAGCAGCAACAACAACAACAATAACGACAACGAGGAGGAAGAGGATGGTAATGGTGGTGAAGAAGAAGAAGGGGGAGTGCGCATTTTAGCTGGAGAAGCGCAGGATAAGAGAAACAGAATGTGCAGAAGGTGTGGAGAGAGGGAATCATGTGTGTTACTGTTACCGTGCAGACACTTGTGTTTATGCACAGTATGTGGGTCAAGTTTACAGGATGTTTGCCCAGTATGTAATTCAAATATGAATGCAACAGTTCACGTCAACATGACTTCTTGATACATCCATCCAAATGTTCAAATATGAACATAACAGAAAAATAGAGTTTTTTGTTGATTTACAAGTTTCAGATTTAGGGTTCTGTAAAATGTAAATGCACTTTTGGTATTAGTAAATGAATTGTTCATTCTTTCTCTACATAGATTTTTTCCGCTAGTTAAATTGTTTTTGATTATAATAATGTGACTTTTTTTTTTGATGAACTAAAAATGAAAAAAATTTGACAATAGTAAAATATTATTTCCATCTTTTCACAATATTGTTGTTAGAGCATAAGTTGAAAGATAAAAGGTCAAATCAATATATATATATATATATATAAATGAGGATAGTAGAGGAGCTGATGTGACATCTCTCTATGGCTTCTATTTTAATTTCTTTTTTTCCTCCTTTTTTTTATTTTTTTTCATTTCTTTTCATTAAATAATTTGTTTATTAATTAAAAAATCCATTCATATTTATTATTCTAATTATACCTAAGAAGTTACAACAAAACCTCCATCTATTTACATTCCCTACTTAAATAATATGTCTTTTCAACTTATTTTTAATTATTCTTATGATTTACACAAACTATAAATAACAACTATCTATGTTCAATGATCATTCTTATTTTCTCATTCTTTCTTTTTATTAGTATAATTTTTTCCTCTTTTACATTTTTTTTTCCTCTTTTTCATCAATCATGTACTTAATAAGTTCACCATATGATCTTCATATTGATAAAGATCATAGATATATTCTTCAAGATTCATCAAATTGATGTTTGCATTAGTTTGGTACAGTTTATGAAAATGAAGAAGGAATCATAATTATTTCAAGATTTCGTCAAGAAGATGGTCATATTAGTAAAAAAGTTTGAATGATTTTCAAATATTTTGAAGATTAATTCATTCATGTATTGTTTTGATTATATTTTTTAGTTAGATATATAATTTCATGTTATTCAACAAAAATTAAATTATGAAACTCTACTAATTAACACATTAGAAAGCTCAATCAACATTATTTTCTTCATTTTACTTTGCTCTTTTTCTTCTTCTTCTTCTTCTTCTTCTTCTTATTATTATTATTATTATTATTATTATTATTATTATTATTATTATTATTATTATTATT